ATCAGATGGAGAAAACACAAGATAGGCAGCCACAAAACGTCCCTAATGTGCATAGAAGGGAAAGAGTTCAACCAAGGGAAGTAAGGGAAGAAGATGAAGAGCCTTATGGGGCTGGTTTTGATGAAAAAGATGATCAGAATTCTGTTGTTAAGAGACGTGTAGGGCGGTTTAGAGAAGCTAGGAATCAGGAAGATAACAACTTAGGGTGGTATTAAGATGAAAATTCCATCATTTCAAGGTAGATCCGATCCTGAAGCATACCTTGAGTGGGAGAAGAACATATTCTGATGATGCAAAGAAGGTAAAATTAGCGGTGATTGAGTTTTCTGACTATGCTATTACTTGGTGGGATCGGCTTGTTATAAACCGGAGGCGAAATAGAGAACGTCCAATAGAGACATGGGAGGAGATGAAAATAGTGATGAGAAAGCGGTTCATTCCAAGCTACTACTATCAAGAGTTGTACAAAAAACTACAAGGTCTTAGACAGGGAAGCCGGAGTGTGGAGGATTACTACAAGGAAATGGAGATTGCTATGATCCGAGCTAATGTAGAGGAAGATCGAGAGGCTACCATGGCTAGGTTCTTACTTGGATTAAACCGGGAAATCCAAGATAAGGTGGAGATGCAGCATTACGTGGAGTTGGAAGATATGGTGCACATGGCCATCAAAGTGGAGCAACAACTCAAGAGGGGGGGTGGGTCACGTGCAGCCCATAACTCTAGTTCTAATTCTTGGAAATCAAGTTATACCAAGCAATTGGACAAGTCACCAACGTCCAAAGCCGAGCCCAAGTCCGCGAACACCAGCCACATTCCTCAAGGTAAAACCGACTCTTCTACCTCTAGGAATCGTGACATTAAATGTTTTAAATGTCAAGGCAGGGGACACATAGCAAGTCAATGTCCAAACAAACAGGTCATGGTGTTGCAAGGCAATGGTGAAATTGTGACCGACGAAGAAGATTCTGACACCGATGGCATGCCACCATTGGAGGACGTTCCCGAGGAGGAATATTTAGCCCTTGATGCATTGACATTGGTGGCAAGGAGAGCATTGAGCGCACATGCGAAGGAGGTTGATGAAGTGCAGCGGGATAACATCTTCCACACTAGGTGCTACATCAAAGACAAGGTGTGTAGTGTAATTATTGATGGTGGTAGTTGTACTAATGTTGCAAGCACAATTATGGTGGAGAAGTTGGGATTACCCGTGTTGAAGCACCCTAAACCATATAAGTTGCAATGGTTGAATGATAGTGGTGAGATAAGGGTGAACAAACAGGTGTTGGTTGCATTTCGAATTGGTAAGTACGAAGATGAAGTGTTGTGTGATGTAGTACCGATGCAAGCTGGACACTTATTGCTAGGGCGTCCATGGCAGTTTGATAGGCATGTGAAGCATGATGGCTTTACAAACAAATACTCCTTTGTGCTTAATCAATGATCAATCACTCTTGTACCATTGACACCGCAGCAAGTATATGAGGATCAAGTGAGATTGCAAAAAGAGAGTGATCAAAAGAAAGAGAGTGAACCAAAGAAAAAGAGTGAAAATCAGAGAGAGGCCGAGAAAAATGAGAGAGAAAAAGAAAATCAATATGCGGCCATTAAAAAAAATCAGAGAGGAAACAAAAGAATTTATATGCAAAAGTGAGTGAGATTAAGAGAGCCATGTTTTCAAATCAGCCGATGATTTTACTTTTGTACAAAGAGGCACTTTTAAACACTAACGAACTTGACCTTGCTTTGCCTAGTTCTGTTGTTTCTCTTTTGCAGGAGTATGAGGATGTCTTTCCAGAGGAAACACCACATGGGTTACCTCCAATCCGAGGGATTGAACATCAAATTGATTTTGTTGCCGGTGCAACAATTCCAAACCGACCAGCCTATAGGAGCAATCCCGAGGAGACAAAGGAGCTTCAACGGCAGGTGAGTGAGTTGTTGGAGAAAGGGCACGTGAGGGAGAGCATGAGCCCATGCGCTGTTTCGGTTTTACTTGTACCTAAGAAGGATGGGACGTGGAGAATGTGTGCCGATTGCCGGGCCATCAACAACATAACGGTAAAGTATCGTCATCCTATTCCTCGCTTAGATGATATGTTAGATGAGCTGCATGGATCTTGTGTATTTTCTAAGATTGACTTAATGAGTGGTTATCATCAGATTAGAATAAAAGAAGGAGATGAATGGAAAACAGCCTTCAAAACGAAATATGGTTTGTATGAATGGTTAGTTATGCCCTTTGGATTGACTAATGCTCCGAGCACCTTTATGAGACTTATGAATCATGTTTTGCGTGAATTTATTGGTAGATTTGTTGTTGTCTACTTTGATGATATACTCATTTATAGCAAAAACATGGACGATCATGTAATACATTTGAAATCTGTTTTAGATATGCTTAGGAAAGAAAAGTTGTTTGCTAATCTAAAGAAGTGTACTTTTTATACCGATACGCTTGTATTTCTGGGTTATGTTGTTAGTGCACAAGGTATGCAGGTTGACGAAGAGAAGGTACGTGCAATCCAAGAATGGCCAAGTCCCACAAGTGTAAGTAATGTTCGTAGTTTTCATGGACTTGCTAGTTTCTATCGGCGGTTTGTGAAGGACTTTAGTAGCATACCCGCACCACTTACTGAAGTGATCAAGAAAAACGTTGGATTTAGATGGGGTGAAGAACAAGAAAAGGCGTTTCAATTAATCAAAGAGAAGCTGACCAACGCCCCCTCCTTATTGTCTTTACCTAACTTTTTGAAAATGTTTGAGATTGAATGTGATGCTTCAAGTATTGGCATAGGAACAGTGCTTATGCAGGAAGGACGACCAATTGCTTACTTCAGCGAGAAACTAAGCGGGGCAGCCTTAAACTACCCAACTTACGATAAGGAGTTGTATGCATTGGTTTGAGTTTTAGAGACAATATACAATGAATTTTGATTGTGAGTTGAGTTGAGTTAACTCCTCTTGTTCTTGATTGAACTTTTGAACTTATCAAAGGTAAATCACAACCTTTGTGGCGTTCCTCCTTGTAATTTGGGTTCCAAAATCAGGTTTTTTTTGGAAGTCTTGCAAATTTGTGCTTCCGAAAATCTAACAAGCTGTGTTCCTTGAATTCTTGCCCCTCAAACCTGAAATTCCTTGATGAGTTCTTGGTGAATTGTTGCTGAAAATTTTAAGAATTGTTTTTTTAGTTTCAGAAGAACTGAATGAGAAATATTGAGTGGGAAAAAAGGCAAGAGTGGTGAGAACATTGGAGGGTAAAAAAAAAAGATGATGTGAACCCCAATAGTCCTGCTTTGAGAATCTAGACCCGTTGAGATCTTGTTTCAAGAACTTAGATTATATTAAAATCTAGACCCATTGAAGAACCCGTCTCAAGAACCCAAATTACGAGGAGGAACGCCACAAAGGTTGTGATTTACCTTTGATAAGTTCAAAAGTTCAATCAAGAACAAGAGGAGTAAACTCAACTCAACTTACAGGAGTGTAAACACGTAAGGGAGAGAATTGTGAGGTTCTTTTATTATTATTATTTTTTTTTTGTTTCTAACTTTGTTTTGTAGCAATTATGTCTCACAACAATGATACGGATCTTGCTGACCCAAAATTGTTTATGGAGGCTATGATGAGTGAGATGAGGTGTGTGATGAAGTTGGAACTAGAGCAAGTTCATGAACGGATAGACCAAATGGAGAAAACACGAGAGGCAGCCACAAAACGTCCCTAATGTGCATAGAAGGGAAAGAGTTCAACCAAGGGAAGTGAGGGAAGAAGATGAAGAGCCTTATGTGGCTGGTTTTGATGAAGAAGATGATCAGAATTCTATTGTTAGGAGACAATATACAATGAATTTTGATTGTGAGTTGAGTTGAGTTTACTCCTCTTGTTCTTGATTGAACTTTTGAACTTATCAAAGGTAAATCACAACCTTTGTGGCGTTCCTCCTTGTAATTTGGGTTCTTGAGATGGGTTCTTCTATGGGTTTAGATTTTAATATAATCTAGGTTCTTGAAACAAGATCTCAACGGGTCTAGATTCTCCATCCGTAGACCTGAGTTTGGCTTTCTTGGGTTGTATTTCCTATATTGTTATTGGGTCTCAAAGCAAGACTGTTGGGGTTCACATCACCTTTGAGTCACCACAAACCCTTAGTACCATGACGATTGATTTTAATTAATATGCAATTAATTCACTCAGCTCAATCTTACAGTGATCCTAGCAAACCCATGAACCCAATTGCACACCTGTGGTTGAAAGATTTTCGTACAATCAAATAAACAACCACTAACAAATGCAAGTTTGTACAATAGAAAGTAAAAGCACTAGCTATTTGTTGACGTGAAAAACCCCCTCTAAAAAAACCGTGAGGAAACTCCCAAGTCTCTCCACAGCAGAATCCACTATTTTTGAATTCGACATGCAAGTACTCGAGAATTATACCTCAACCAATACCTTGGTTAGATGCTCCTTTCCTTGCTATGTTTCTCCGTCAAAAGTCCCTCTCCGACGTCTTTTGCAGCTTCACTTGGACCACTTTGCCCCTCTGCTCATTTAGGCCTCGAGCGACTATAGGCACCCCAACAATCCTTGCTAGGCATGCACCAGTGATTTCGGTTTCATTAGCAACATTCTTCTTTGAATTCCCACCCTTACAATTCTTAAAATTTTTTTGCATGTGACAGCTTGTCAGGGGAATTGGTTGGCGATACACTTGACAAACACAGCCTTGGAAGAAGTGTGGATGCGTTCATTTGTGTTGCCTAAACCACGATTGTCACCCATACATTTTCCAATAGAAAACATCCTATCAAATGTCTCACTGGGTTGGGGATGTCTATTGACTTGTTCTCAACTTCTAGGCTACGTATTTGGGCCTTGGACTTGAACAAGTCCTCTTGAAGGCCTCTTGTCTCTTCTTCACTTGAGTTCACTTGATCACTCAAGTAGAGCACCTTATCTAGTTGCTAGAAGAATTGCACAAACTATTGACCATATACATCTCGAATATCCTCACAGTAATCTTCATCCTCCACACACGTGGGGATTTCCTTGTCCTTGTCATGTACCTCCGTGGTGGGACTTGCTACAACTACATTCGTGGAAGTTTCTTTATGGGGGAGAGGAGAGAGGTCCTCTAGTGGCCGTAAAGTTCTATTCATCGTCTCTAGAAGAGAAGAGTTATCACCCAAGGTGATGACCATGATGATTGATTATAACCATGACAATTGATTATAATTAATATGCAATTAATTCATTCAGGTCATTCTCACGGCGATCCAAACAAACCCATAAACCTAATTGCACACCTATGGTTGAAAGCTATATGTGCACTCAAATAATTGACCACACAATGCGTGTGTGTGCTAACAAATGCATGTGTGTACAATGGACAGTAAAGAACACTAGCTATTTGCTGACGTGAATCCCTTCCCCCCCGAGGAAAAAACCGTGAGGAACCACCCTAGGTTTACCAAAGTCGAATCCACTACTCTCCAATACTACAGTTAGATGCTCCTTTTCTTGCTATGTTTCTCCAACGAAAGTCCCTCTCCGACGTCTCGTGTAGCTTCACTTGGACCTCACTGCCGCACGTTTCATCTAGGCCTTTAGCGATTATGGCCATGCCAAAAATACTTGGTATTCACACACCAATGATTTCAAGTTCTTTAGCAACCTTTATTCTTTGAATTCCCACCCTTACCATTCTTAACAATTTTTGAACATGTGTAAACTTGTCGGGGTGATGAGTTGGTGATACCCTTGACAGACACGGTATTGGAAGAAGTGTGGGTGCGTTAATTTGTGTTGCCTAAACCACGATTGTCACCTACAATCTTTCCCATAGATAACATCCTATCAAACTTCTCATTGCATTGGGGAAGTCTATTGGGGAGCTCATTTGAATCACAAAGATCTTTATCAAGTTTGACACATTTTGAATCAAGATTCTTCTTAGATTTGAAGAGCTCAAGCCACTCTCTCTAAAGAAAACTCATTCAGTCAAGGAGAGACTTGTTCTCATCTTCTAGGCTACCTATTTAGGCCTTGGACTTGACCAAGTCCTCATGATGGCCACTTGTCTCTTCTTCACTTGAGTTGACTCGATCACTCAAGGAGAGCACATTCTCTTGTTGCTTGAAGAATTGCAAAAACAATTGATCAAATACATCTTGAATATCCTCATAGCAATCTTCATCCTCCACTCACGTGGGGATTTCCTTGTCCTACTCATGTATCTCCGTGGTAGGACTTGCTTCAACTACACTCATGAAAGTTTCTCATGGAGGAGAGACGAGAGTGGTCCTAGAAAAGCCATAAAGTTCTCTTCATCATCTTGCCCGAGGTTGACTCACTTTCATGATCACGCTACTTGGATTTCATAGCCTTCAACTTTCATTGTGCAAACCTCTATTCTTTCTATGTTTCTTTTTGATACAATATGTGAAAATCCTTGACATTCAAAGCATTAGAAACCTTGCCCCTTATTGTCAACTTATTTTTTAAAGTCTCATCCCCTTTTTTCTCTTCCTTTCCGTAGGAGTGCTACACCTACTAGACTATCCCTTTGGCCTTGAGGACTCAACATTATTTGTCTTGAAATATTTTTTGAACATCTTTACAATCAAGGCTAGGTCCTCCTCTCGAGATCGGGGTGACCTGGATTTACCTCCACCTTGATAACTTGAGCCCAAGGCCATGCACTTAGCTTTACTTTAGGGATGGAAGGATCATCTCAAAGGTCAAGATAGGCCCCACTAGGTCTTCCACCGACACTTACTCTGTGTTGACACCTGTCTCCAAGGATGAGACCTTTACACGAAATCTCTTAGTTAGAGATCTCCAGATTTTCCACCTGATGGCCCCATCGTCAACCTTGATACCTAATGCATATGATTAATTTACTGCATCGCACAATTTAGTAGGAAATTCACTAAATGTTTCATCATCTTGTATCCTCAAACTCTCGAACGAAGAGTTCTACCTCCGAAGTCAAGACATCTCCACCAAGGAAGTCCCTCCATGGGAAACAACCAAGATGTCTCACGCCTCCTTTGAAAATTTTCAATTAGTGATCCTTCGGAACTGATTTAGTATCGTGACATTGAATATCGCATTCAAGCCTTTTGAGTTTCACCTCGTGGACTCATTCTCATTTTTAATCCATACGTTCAACGATTTTACTTCAACCACCACTTTCAGCTTCTGTGGCGGTGGTTGAACGCCTCCAACCCTATTGGAGACACAACCACACTCTATCATTAGTGGATTTAACAAAACGCTCACCTTCCATCTTTCCATTTTGCAAAGTTTAATCCATCGAAGAGTGGTGGTTGTCCAATTGAACCACTTTCCCTTTGAGAACCCATTCAAAACTAACTAGTAGTAATGAAAGATTTCTTGACAATTTCCTAGATGGGGGGTGAATATAATTTTTCAATTTTAAGCCCAAATTGATTACGAATTAAAACCTAAGTCTATCTTTTGACAAATATGAAGTAATGAATGTGAGAACCCTTTTAGTCACCACAAACCCTTTCAACCGTGATGATTGATTTTAATTAATATGCAATTAATTCACTCCGGTCAATCTCACGACGATCCCAACAAACCCATAAACCCAATTGCACACCTATGGTTGAAAGATCTCTGTACAATTAAATAAACGACCATATAGTGCATGTGTGTGCTAACAAATGCAAGTGTGTACAATGGTAATTGAAGAACACTAGCTATTTGCTGACGCGAATCCCCCTTGGGAAAAAAACCGCGAGGAACCTCCTCAAGTTCACCAAAGCCGAATCCACTACTCTCCAACTCGGCATACAAGTACTCGAGAATAACACCTCAACCAATACCATAGTTAGATGCTCCTTTCCTTGCTAAGTTTGTCTGTTGAAAGCCCTTCTCTGATATTGGTGTAGCTTAACTTGGACCTCCCTGTCGCACGGTTGATCTTGGCCTCAAGCGATTATGGCCACGCCAACAATCCTTGTTATGTACACACCAATGATTTTGGTTTCTTTAGCAACATTATTCTTTGAATTCCCACCCTTACCATTCTTAACAAATTTTGAGCATTTGCCAACTTGTCGGGGTGATGAGTTGGTAATACCCTTGACAAACACAGTCTTGGAAGAAGTGTGGGTGCCTTCATTTGTGTTGCCTAAACCACGATTATTACCTACACTGTTTCCCATAGATAACATCCTATCAAACTTCTCGTTGCATTGGGGAAGTCTATTGGAGAGCTCATTCGATTCACAAAGATTTTTATCAAGTTTGACACATTTCGACTCAAAGATTCTTCTTAGATTTGAAGAGCTCATGCCACTCTATCTAAAGAAAAATAATTTGGTCAGGGAGAGGCTTGTTCTCATCTTCTAGGCTACATATTTAAGCCTTGGACTTGACCAAGTCCTCATGAAGGCCTCTTGTCTCTTCTTCACTTTAGTTGACCCGATCACTCAAGGAGAGCACCTTTTATTGTTGCTTGAAGAATTGCACATACAATTGATCATATACATCTTCAATATCCTCATAGCAATCCTCATCCTCCACACATGTAGGGATTTCCTTGTCCTAGTGATATATCTCCATTGTAGGACTTGCTTCAACTACACTTGTGAAAGTTTCTCTTTGGGGAGAGACGAGAGTTGTCCAAGAAAAGCCGTAAGGTTCTCTTTATCATCTCGCACGAGGTTGACTCACTTTCACGATCACGCTACTTGGATTTCATAGCCCTTCAACTTTCATTGTGCAAACCTCTATTCTTTCTATGTGGCTTTTCGATACAATATGTCAAAATCCTTGATGGCCACATCGTCAACCTTGATACCTAATGAAAATGATTAAATTATAGCTTCATGCAATTTAGTAGAAAATTCCCTAAATGTTTCATCATCTTGTATCCTCAAACTCTTGAACTCAGAGGTCTATCTCTATAATCGAGACATCTCCACCAAGGAAGTCCCTCCGTGCGAAACAACCAAGATGTCTCACGCACCCTTTGAAGTTTTGCAATTAGCGATCCTTCGAAACTCATTTAGTGTCGCGACATTGAATATTGCATTCAAGCCTTTTGGGTTTCACCCCGTGGACCCATCCTCATTTTTAATCCATACATTCAACGATTTTACTTCAACCACCACTTCACCACTTTCAACTTGTGTGGTCATGATGGAAGGTCTCCACCACTTGGAGACACAACCACATTCTCTCATCAGTGGATTTAAGAAAACGGCCTCCTTCTAGCTTCCCATTTTGCAAAGTTTGATCCATCAAAGAGTGGTGGTCGTCCAATTGAACCACTTTCCTTTTGAGAACCCATTCAAAACTAACTACTAGTAATGATAGATTTCTTGACAATTACCTAGAGGGGGGTGAATAAGGGTTTCAATTTGAAGCCCAAATTGATTACGAATTAAAACCTATGTCTACAACAATACCATTTCTCACAAATATGAAAGCAGTGAATGTGAGAACCCTTTTAGTCACCACAGACCCTTTGAACCATGATGATTGATTTTAATTAATAAATAATTAATTCACTCAAGTCAATCTCACAGCGATCCCAACAAACCCATAAACCCAATTACACATCTTTGGTCGAAAGATATTCGTACAATCAAATAAACGACCACACAATGCGTGTGTGTGCTAACAAATGCAAGTGTGTACAATGGAAAGTAAAGAACACTAGCTATTTGCTGATGTGAATCCCCCCCCCCCCCCTTGGGGAAAGAATCGCGAGGAACTTACCTAGGTTCACCAAGCCACTACCCTGTAAGTCAGCATGCAAGTACTCAAGAATTAAACCTTAACCAATACCATAGTTAGATGCTCCTTTCCTTGCTAAGTTTCTCCGTCAAAAGTCCCTCTCCGACGTCTGGAGCTTCACTTGGACCTCCCTGCCACACAGTTCATCTAGGCCTCGAGCGAATATGGGCACGCCAACAATCCTTGGTATGCACACAAGAATGATTTCGATTTCTTCCCACCCTTACCTTTCTTAACAAATTTTGAGGATGTGCCAACTTGTTAGGGTGATGAGTTGGTGACAGATACCCTTGATAAACACGGTCTTGGAAGAAGTGTGGGTGCGTTCATTTCTGTAGCCTAAACCATGATTATCACCTGAACTTTTACCCATAGATAGCAT